CCTCCACCGATGGCAAACAGTCTGCCACCCCCCTGACCGCAAACTCACAAACAGTTTTCCCTCTGAGTGAATGGCCCAATGCCTGCAACTAGCGGCAGAGACCAGCGCGAGAGGGGTAATATTAGCAATAATAATAATAACAATAATGATAGTAACAATAGTAACAATAGTAGTAATGGTAATGATAATAGTAATAATAATAATCGTACTCATAGTAGTGATAATAGTGATAATAGAAATAATCATCGTGATAATAGTAATAATAAGAGTAACAAAAATAATAGTAACAGCAATAATGGCAACAATAGCAATCATTCTGCTAAAGGATCCTCCAAGAAGCGGCCTGCAGCAAGGACCGTGGTCGGCTGCAGCGGTCCAAGACATTCCTAAAAGGGCCAAAAAGACAGCGGCACTGGAAGCTTCGGGCTTAGGGTTTACGGTTTAGGGGGCCTTCGAGAGCTCAACGGCCTTGAATGGCGAAACCCGAAATCAGATTGCTCCAATCCCAGGCACATGAGGGCAATGCAGTCAAAAGTGCCACCCGGTCCGAGTGGGATCTCTACCTCCGCTGCCATGGCCTCAAGGCAGGTTGGTGGGCTTGGGCTTGGTCCATTGGTGGTTGCAAGTTCAGGGCCAAAAGGGTATGACTGGCACTGCGGAAGCCAAGGGCTCAAAGCCTCGCCTCTAGACCCGACAGGCTTCCCTCGAGAACTGGGAGACCACGGCGGCGCAGCTGGGCCACCATAGGACGACCTCGGAGCTCAGACCATTTCTGGGCGCGACTACGGACTACAAGCAACTGTGATCCCATCTTACTCCAAGCCGTGACCCACGAGGATGCGAGCAAGCCGCTCACTTCGGTCGTCAACACATGATCGAACAGCTGCGCGAGCTCCATCGTACATGACCCGGTCCTTTGTGCGGCTTGGCGGCTTGGGACTGTGAACCTCCAAGTTCCAAGTACTTGTCACTTGGGGCCACGCCACTTCGACTTAAGTCTTGAAAAAGCCACAGGATTCCTCCAGGCTTTGGCTGAGGGAAGACGGAGCCTCCAATGCACCCTCGAGTGTTGAAACAAACGAAAGTTGAAAGTGTCGCAAAGCAGTTGCGATGTGGCTCGGTGTTCATGACCATGGCAACAATACACTACGGAGGAGGAAGCCAGACGGATCCTGCAACGCGAAAGAGAAGTCAGACTGCAACTTTCACCAACGTGGCATCCAGGCATTGCTGTCTACGCACTCCCCTGCGACCCTAAACTTCCCTTCCTGACCTTTTCACCATAAACCCAAACTCTGCCAACCTAAACACGTACTCCGTTCGGCCAGGTATCCCGGCTCCTACATCGAGCAGCAAGCCACCAGGGCGCTCTGGGAAGAGCCGGAGCGCCTGGGTAGCACTGAGCACCTGGGTGGTTTAGGAGTCTGCGTGCTGGGTATGAACCTCAACTTGCATTCCTTCCTCGCTGCTTTAATGCCGCAACCCATGATTCGCGAATGCAGAAATGCAAGCATGTGCTCATAGTATCTCCTTGGTGCGTCTTCTGTCTGCAAGCACGAAGAGAGTGGCTGTTGAAGGCCAACAAGGGCATCAGTTTAAAACCGCCGATCTTCTTGGCAAAGCGCGTTAAGTTGGCTCGTCCTGCTAGCCCTTACATCGCATGTTGTACAGTAGTAGACGAACTGCGCCTAGCATTACCAATCAATTTGAAGACAATCCTGTAGCCCTGAGGCCTGCGTGGTACACCGCAAGATTCTGCACCGGGGCACAAACATCTCACCGCGGCCCAGGAGTGCGTTAACATCCGTCTTGGAGAGGCACCAGCACAGCACCCGTGCGAGCGCACCCTGCTGGACTCTCAACACGGACTCGGGTTCGGTGGGGGTTTTAGGTTTCGGTTTTACACAGGTTACAGGATTGGATGGCTTTGAGTCTCCGGGGCAGCACGGCAGGTCAACCAAAGGAGGCCGCAAGACCAGATCGACGAAGAGAGCGACCCACTAGGACGACGGGCTTTTTTGGGAGCTGCGCTTCGCTTCAAAATGACCCCAGTCCCTGGCTTCGTTTTCCATCTTCTCAAGGCACGAGCTACTGTCCTACTTTGACTTCAGACCCCAGGATCTGTACACGCTTTGATGCCCGAACTGACATCCCAAATCCCACTGCACAACCTGACCCTACAATATAGGGGGCCTTCTTGCTTGCAAGGTTTTGGGGATTTGGGAGTCTATTGTACGACGGTTTTATTGGGACGCCTCAAGGCCGCCACTCCCTCCTTTGTCCCTCCTTCAGCAACGTAGTGGCGACGGACCTCTCCAGGCAAAAGGCCAAGAAGTCCTCCGTTGCGGCATCGGCCTCCTTCTTGAAGCTCCAGGGCTTCTGCGGAGGTAAGCCGAGGGTTTGTGCGGGTTTGGATCCCAAGATCCTCAAGCCACCACAAGTTACGAGCGCTCCAGCTGCACCCAGCGCTCTGCGAGGGCCGGTGCCAGCAAGCCAACGCTGTAGGGCAGCGCGTGCCTTCGAAGCCGCCGCTGAGCTAAAAGCCCAAAGCTTTGGAAGAGAAGCCGATAGACTAAGCAACCGCAAGGCATTGTATCGGCTCGTTCCGCAAAATGCCGTCTATCTGAGCATTGCAGCAGCATGCGGTCGAACACAATACGAAATGGCACATTGTGGAGCAAATGACAGTAATGTGATGTAACATGATGCGATTCAATATGGTGCAATCAAGTCCAGTATGCAGAGGAAGACGGCACAAGAACGCACATTGGACCATGGCATGTAGCGTCAAAGCACGCAGGGGCAGTTTGCCTGACACACATTACCACATTAACATATTGTAATCTGCTAATACCATAATTAATACTGTACTATTTTCGTGATGTGACAATATCACAACAGTATAACATTCTATCATGACATTATTATATGATATGGTATTGTATTCCATTATCACGAAAGCAGGCGGAGGCTCCAAAACCGATCTTGCACTCGGAGGTCGATAACCCAAGGCACCTGGAATACCGGCGTCCACTGCGGGCGCAGAGAACGAAGACCTGTCGCCGCAAATGTATAGCATCATATGGTCTAATATAGTACAATTTGGCATAGTCTAGTATTGTACAGTATAGTACAGTATAGTATAGTATAGTATAGTATAGTATAGTATAGTATAGTATAGTATAGTATAGTATAGTATAGCAAAATAACATAGTATAACATTGTATATCATAGCATACTATAACAAGGTTGAGATGCTGTCCCTATACCAAGTCTCCAAATCTGGAACCCCTTCTAAACGCTGATCCAGAGGCTGTGTGAAGGGTGCCGGCCCGGGCCCTCGCAGCGCAGCTCCAAACCTCTGAGTCCGAAAGCTCCAAAGACCCCTAGGTGCTCCCAAAGCCCCTGCAGCTCCGCAGCTTCGAGTCAGGCACGCCGGCAAGCCAAACACCACACACCGAGAGCCAAAAGGTCTAAGTCCCTCAAACTGCTACTGTATCAGACATTGCGACACATAGACGCAAAGAGAGAGAGCGAGAGAGAGAGAGAGAGAGAGAGAGAGAGGACGAACCTCGCGGCCCAGGAGAGGCTCAAAGCGCCGCTGGCCGAAGTTCCAGGCCATGCAAAGCCACTTGATGATTACATCAGGGCTTGGTTGAGGCCAGAGGCCAGAGAATACTTCAGGTGGTTAAGAAGCGAAGGCCGAATGTTTCGGACGAAGCGCTGAAGATTTACGGTCTGGATTTGAATGCTGATAGTTTTCGCGAGTTGGAGCGTCGGCCCCCACAGGTTGAGCCCTGTGACAGCTAAGTCCTGATTGGTACATTCAACCATGCACATCTACCGCAGCCGCGCATCTGAAACTAAAACCCAGCGCTCTTCGAAATCACACTCACTGGACAGTGGGGGTGCAGATTGACAGAACCTCAAGGTCAACCGCTAATTAGTTATTAGTACACCCCGACATGGCGAGATGGCGACCTTTATCGTAGTGTGCTTGCATGCCACGCATGCACTGAAGAGTGGAAAGGACCTCAAATCAAAACACTGTCGTCAGGTAACAAACGCCCCGTAATGGATGATAAACATGCTGAGATTGATCTTCTCATATGAGCACTCTCACGAATAACCGCAGTGAAAAATGGCAGCAACCAGAGGAGAAGCAGTCGCGCCAGTGGCAGCGGTAGAGGCAATCATGATGGAGCAGCAGCAAAAGCAGAAGCAACTGCAGTGTCCTTTGGCCAGCTGGCTGCATGTCATGATGATGTGGGCCTCGGTATCGATGCGCAGCATCGGGCACCGCCTGCCTGGGTGGCCGTCGTGTCTGGATGCGCTACTATCACGAAAATGGGAGGCCCCACTTCTTCAAAAGAAGACAAATACTTAAGATAAAAGAGGATGCCGTCCGTAGGCGTACTGCCACCCATAAGCAACCCTCGGAACCCAAATCCTGAGGGATGCTGACGATTGACTGCTACATCCTGTACCCGCACATCCAGCACAAAGCCTTGATCCTGTGCAGCGGCAGTAAACGCGTCGCCAGTCGCAGCAGTAGCGGCAGCAGCAGCAGCAGCAGCAGCAGTAGCAGCAGCAGCAGCAGTAGCAGTGACAGTGGCAGTAGTGGCCATGGCAGCGGCAGCGACTCTGGCAGCGGCAGCGGCAGCCGCAAAGCTGCACGAGCAGGAGCAGTAGCAGTAGCAGTAGCAATGGCAGTAGGAGGAGTAGGAGCAGGAGTAGGAGTGGGAGTAGGAGTAAGAGTGGGAGTAGGAGT